TATAAATAAAACGCTTCCCAGGGCTACAGGCAGGTGAGGTACACAAGTATATTTGCACCTAGAACAGACTTGAGAAATCTTTCAAAGTCACATGGAAAGAAAAGCAGCATTCTGTATTCCTGTTTTCATTCTCCACATGTCATTGCTAATTTGCTAAATAAAAACATACYTGTGAAACCCCAAAAGCTGGTTGGTGAGATCTGACTTCTGCAATTTCTTCCTTTRTAAGAATCAGCTATACCTGCTTTAACACTCCCCTAAGGGAAGCAGTATCTTTTACCCAAAAGAAAAAAAAAAATTATCTAGGGACTATATCTATTTGTTGAAATGGAAAACTAAGTTAAAACTGAACATTTTAAAGATTAAGCTGAGTTGTGAAAGATACAGAAGCCTTGACCAATACAAAACTTCAAGCTGATGTTACAGGCAGGCTATAGACCCTCTTCAAAGCCATCTGTCAAACTGGAAACCACACAGGACTTCTGCTCAAGTTCAGCTCACAGACAGTTACTGCTCATTTCCTTACAAGAGGGACCAAAGAAATCTGTGTCAATGGACAACTGGGTATAGAAAGGCACGTGTCACTGAAAAGGTGACACACACAAAGAACTAATACTTTTCAGTACATACACTGAAAACAATATGTTAACAGAGACGGCTAATGAGAACATGAACCAAAGGAAAAAAAAAAAACACCACAAGATCAATTTTACATTAAAGGGCTTTACTTTTCCATCAAAAAAGAGACCTAATGACTCTTTTTATAGCAGGAAAACTACTGAGAGTAATTTTAATGCCCTCTGATTTTGAAAGGTGCCTTAAAGATGTTTCAGAAGGTTACTCTCATCACATCCTACGACAAGTATTTTGCTCCCAGTGAGGCACAACATACTCTTTGAAGTGTAAATTGCAACCTACACTGTGCAGCACAACCTGTACCCAAACCTGATGACCCTTTCTCAAGCCTGCACGACTTTTTTTAAGCCTTATGTTATAGCAAAGTACTTGTAGATCTTCTGAAATAATAAAAACAGATTCAAAGGGATCAAAGTACAAGTATTAGAGGTTGATTCATACTCTCCCCACAGGAAGATTCTCCTCCAATTAATTGATGACTTTTTCTATGCATTTTACAGTGAAACTGTCTGATGAAATACAAGCCAAATTACAGGATTAGAGAGGCAGTTGTAAGCAGTTTTATAATCATGTCATAAAGCTCCAGTATTTTTCAGAAGCTCTAAAAGCAAAMAAATTTTGCATATAAAATACTAAAGAGGTTTTGAAAATGACAGAATTTCATATGAATCTGATATTAACAGAGCTGTTCATTTATTTCTAATAAAAAAATTCTGGCTAGCAAACCATGCTACCTTCAAGCCTCCRTGCTTTAAAGGTATAATACTAACAAAAGTACATATCAGTAAGATTACTTTTCCTCCTAAAACAGCTTTTCTGATTTTACACTTTTCAGAGCTTTCATAAATAGGAAACAGAAGGGAAAGACACATTAATAGAGATGCCATATAAACACTTTCACAGTTCTAGTTTGTTAAAAGCTTTCTCAAAAAAAAATGAAATCTGTTTTGCTATTAATCACCAACACTGAAAAGTATCAAAGCAAAACTAATRGAAGTTCTTCAGTTCTAGTTTGTAATTACTTCCATCCTGTTCATTTGGGAGGACAGGCTACATGTCCTTTGAAATTTCAACGAATAGCATTACCAAAAAGATCCACTTGTGCCAGTAGCATAAAGTGGAAGCTGCAATATGGAGAGCATCTTGACTTTATTTTGCACCTCCTACTTACTTCATAAATACCAGCTAAACATTATGATAATCGCTTCAACTGCTAARCTCAATGAAATTAGTTAATGACCCTGATGCACGAAACCAAACAAACCCACAAAAGTGAAACCAATACTTGCTAAATTTTAATACTAATTTGAATCAATGTTAATGGTGCTTAAACTGTACTGGATTTTTGTAAGCTACAAGTAATTTAAGCAGCAAGACAAACCTGCACTGACGCTCATTCCCCAAACTCTAGAATTTCTTGGCAACCTTGTTTGAAATTTTCCACTTCATTTTCTGACTCTCAAACACAGTTATACTACTTACCCAACTAAGCCAACATCTGCTATAAGTTTCAAATCAAGATGAACAATTCGCTTCTGACCCTTGCAAGGCAGGAAGTTTGTGKCCAAAGAGCCTCCGAGACCTCCACGAGCTACTAGGCATCTCTCTCCTGCTGTATTAAGCTCTCCTGAAAATAAATTCACTGATGAAAAAGCATGATTTCCCCACAATAACTTAGTACCAACTTCTCCACTTAAAAGATGTCTTTATTGACAAGTAAGACCAAATATATACCAAATACTTTCCCTTTTGTCATGGAATTACTAATATGAGGAAGAATTGCCAGGTATAGACAAGCAAAGTACGGCTAAGATAACATGGAGTTCTGAAGCCTCCAACACAATCCAAAACTAAATGTGCAGGTATTGATCTATGCTTGTAGGTACTGACAGCAGGTTTGATTGAAAAAAAAAAAAAAAAAAAAAAAAAAAAAGCACCTTGCATTACAGATACGTAATTCTTATACACATCACACATACACAAGACTCAGATGTTCCACATTTTTCCATTAAAAGCTGACTTGGTTGGCTGGAATGTTAGAATAAGTTTTTAAAAAACAGTATTTGTTTATATAATATATCTACTTTACCTACACCTAGAGCACCTAGAGTCATTTGTGACTTCTGTTGGAACTCTGAGTAGTGCGAGAGTAAAAACATGGAGAAACTACAAAGAAATTACAGAGAAGTATTTCAAGATCACTATTTTGAAAGAGATCTTCCAAGTTAACACCAAACACTTAAAAAAATAATTATCAACATTTTAGATAATCTGAAATGCTGGCATAGGACAAGTATCTTTACCTTTTTTAAGCAATTTCCTAATTGAGCAAAGCTAGAGGGTCACTTGRCTTGGTTGGTGGACACCTGATCTACGCAGAGTCATTTAATGGGGACTCAATACAACTTCCCACCTTTCACGCTTGCTGCAAAGGAAACTTTCCTTCTGCTGAATACAGCAATGCAAACCAATTTGTTTCTCAAGGAGGAACTTGCTCTTTCCGCAATCACTGCAGTGTAATTTTTGTCAGGACTCATTTCCCCAAGAAAAGCAAAAAGAAATATATACATGTGGGGACATATGTAATTCTAAGACACTCCAGAAGCATCAGAAATTTGCTAGATGCCGTCAACAAGCACGAGAGCATCTACCAGACACACTGAAGGCACCCAGAAGCTCTTACCAATCTGCTTCCCATCTTCAGAGAGCACCGAAATCCCCAGGGGCACGTGCACTTCGCAGTCTCTTCCCTTCTCGCCTTTGAGCGCGCGGACGCTGGGAGAAGCCAAATGCGGGTGAGTTGACGGGAAGCCAGACCAGGCTGCGGGAGGGAGGCGGCACTCGGCTCCGCGGCGCCCTCAGCGCGGGTCTCACCTGCTGTTGGCGCCGCTGGCCGCCACGAAGCGCTTGTGGGGATGGCGCTCCTTGATGGCGCGCAGCGAGGCGCGCTCGTGCGCCACGAGCCACACGTYGCCGCCGCGGCCGCCCTCGCCGCCGAGGCGCGGGTAGCCCATGCCGCCGCTGCCGCCACGCACGTAGAGCCGCAGGTCGTCGATGAAGCTGCCGTACTGGGGGAGGGAAGAGCGCGTTTCACACCTTTTAGGGTGTCTGTTTGTTTGTCTTACACAGCTGCTAGATACAAAGTGGTCAAGACCRCTTCTATGGCTCTTCTACACAAGAGTGTTGCAAACAAGTGGGAAGCAAGCTCAGGAAGCGGACATGCAACCCTCTTAAACGTGTTTTTTTTGTTTTTTTGTTTTTTTTTTAATGTAGGAGGTGTTCAATGCACCGCCGCAGTCGYAGGCCCAGGCACAAGGGGGCCGTGGCCGCCGCCGCCGCCGCCTCCCCGCCGGCCTCTCGGCGGACCCGGGCTCTGCCCTGCAGGGCCCTTCACCCGAAGMGAGACCCGCCGGCCCTGCCGCGGCGCCAGCGCTGCCTCCCGCAGCCGCCCGCACTGACCTTCCGCAGCACCGCCCCGCTGCCCCGCACCATGGTGCGGCCGGCGACGAAGGGCGGTCCTGGAGGCGCGGGCTAGGCAGCGAGCCAGGAGCGCGGGGACCGTTTCCCGCTCTCACCCCGCGGCGGCGGAGGCCGCCATTACGCGCTGGGCGGCGCGGGCGAGGCGGGCTCGCGCCCTGCGCATGCGCCGCCATTTCCCGCCCTCGGGCGCCGCTGTGGGACGTGGTGCTGCCTCAGTCCCAGTGCCGCCCCGGGGAGGGAGCGAAGCCGGTGCCGCCCTCTTTTTTTTTTATTTTATTTTATTTTATTTTATTTTATTTTATTTTATTTTATTTTATTTTATTTTATTTTATTTTATTTTATTTTATTTTATTTTATTTTANTTATTTTATTTTATTTTATTTTATTTTATTTTATTTTATTTTATTTTATTTTATTTTATTTTATTTTATTTTATTTTATTTTATTTTATTTTATTATTTTTAAGCATCAGTTATCATGGAAGGAGTAAATACTCAAATCTTGTCTTTCACTTTCACCTCTTTTTGGCTTTCCAGTAGGTAATATTAAGTTGATTTGTAAGCAACTTGAGGGAAGTCCTCCTTTAGAGTAATTTAATCCTTAAAATAGACACACCACCTAATTTCTTTTTATCACCTACATAGTAAAAGCAGGTTACAAAGCAGTGTTGTGCCCTATATGTGCTGAAGTGGTGAAGAGAAATCTGCAGAGAGCAAAATGTCTTGAACCCTATGGATCCCCTGACTCAGACCAGGGTTTAAACTCAAGRGGGCTGAAACTGGGCTATAATTACTTATGTTTAAAAAGAGAAACCAACCACAGACCTGTAAGCATGGTCTAAATCGTATATAAAGTTTTAGAAAAATAGAGGTTTGCCACAGATACATAGATCTAGGGAAAAAAAAAAGTACTTGATATGGTATCACCTGGGAAGGAATGAAATCATAGGAATTAGGATAGAAACCGTGAAGTGAGATAGCCACAGTTAAGGTTGTACAGCAACAAGTTAAAAGGCGACAAGGGCTGGTTTGGGGATGATCTTTAATACTTTGCTGCTGTCCCCGGTGCAATCAATTGATAAGAGCATACTGATGAAATCTGACAGTGAGAATATTTGAGAAGTGTTTCTGGCTGAAGTAGGGATGTATTAATATATTAAAAAAAAATGTTGAGATTTCATTGGGGATTGTGAAATTTTCTGAGTAATTTTTCTGTAGTTCTAAATAAATCACAGGTGTTGAACGGAAACAGAGGCAAAGCAAAGCTAGGAGGATTGCTGGGGGGATTGAGAGCCTATTGTATGAAAAGACTTTAGGCTGGGCTCTGCTTGTTTACCTGAATAAAACAGACGGGATATGAGTGCTGTCTATAAATACATCAGGAAAGAAAACATGAGGGATGAAAACCATTTAATTTGCAGGACAAGGTTGGCACAAGAACAAACAAATACATACTATTTATTAATAAATTTAATCAGGAAATTAAAATAATGTTTATAGTCAGTAGAGAAGTCACATTCTGAAAGAGYTTTTCCATGAAATTAGTGGGAGCCAGAACATGCCAGTCTGGTGCTTGTTGACTATATGAGGTGGCTGTGCAGGAGAGCTGCCTGTGTCCGCAGGGAACTCAATGAACCTGTTCTCTCTATTCAGGAGARCCTTTCTACCCCATGTTATGCTGAAAATACTCACGAATATGCCCACAGAATACTTTGTACAGATTTAAGCTTTGTAATATGTGAAGGATTTGGGAACCTGAYATGAGTAAGCAAAAATAAGGCATCCTTACACGCACACAGTTTAAGCTGTGGTGTCCCTGCTCGAGCAGGGGGTTGGACTGGATGATCTCTAGAGGTCCCTTCCAACCTCAACCAGTCTGTGATACTGTGCAACTAAAGCATATGATGTGGTATTAGATAGGAAAGGGTGAAAAGGGGACATTAGCAAGAGAACAGGTGAGATGGAAAATGCARGGAAGCTGCAGATACCAAGAGGGTTATCAAGGTTCTTCAAGGCTCAGCCCAGAGCCAGTCTCCATGCTCACCTTGGATCCCAATGTGAGCATATCAGCTTACCCTATGCCTTCAGGATTCATTCTTCTCTCAAGACAATTGTCATTTGTAGTTAATCCCATTGAATCACTGTGGCTGTTGAGAGCAGCAGAGTCTATAGCTTGCTGGCTATCAGAGCCTTAAATGCTTATGCTTAAAAGCCTTAGGCTGAGCTTTCTTAACACACAGCAGAAGGTCACATCCAACAACAGGTTAGTGTGTAGCCCAGAGATACCAGCAGAGATATTAAGGTTAATTCAACTGCATATAAGCAATCAACAGCTTCAGCTGGAGAAGGGGAAACAGCAAAGCTGGTCTCTGCGTTGTAACTTGTGAGGTGAAATTGAGGTGTTAGTTGGCATTAACATTAGGTTCATTTCAGCACCAAGAAAGCTCATTCCAACAAAAGCTGAAAGTCAAGCAGCTTAGTAAAACACTTCTTTTGAAATGTGCCGGTTTGCAATTTTGGGGGGAATCTTTTATACCACAGCATACTCTGTTGCTTATCTACCCTGCTAAAAATGACTGAAATTGTGTTTCTCTACTTCATRCTGCTCATCAGTGGTATGGAGAGTGACTCAATTTTTCAGTGAATCCTGTTTATGTAGGAATGTGCACACGTGCAGTCACAGAGATGGCTGTAATTTAGTCATRCAGGTGGCTGCTAGTGTATTCAAATTCTCTTCACTTGGTTACACATAATCTGTGTACTCTGAGCTTCATGCTAAATAATGCTTCAATTCCTGCTTTTTCTGCTCTGTACTGTCAAATGCTCCCATATGATAGCCTGGAAATCCAAAGGTACTGCCACGCCAAATCCCAGTTTCACCGCTGTTGCTTGCCTATGTGACATAAATCACTGGGTAGTGCACTGGCTGTCACCAGCGGTAATAAGAACAGGCAATAAAATCTCTTTCCACCAGGATTTTAGAAATTCCAGTAACACTTCTTTGAAATTTGTAGTTTACATGCAGTATTTTCTTGGTCTAGAAAAGAGCTAACTCCAGTGGGAAGGTGTAAAAAGTAAGCGGGAAATATTTTATCAGCATAGCTTTATTCTAAGGTAGAATTGGAATTACTAAAAAATGTGAGTTTTCTCTCTGTGCTTTTTTAAACATGCACACAATGCTGCATTACAGTACTGGGAAGCTGGCATAAAAGCCTTTGAAGTTCAAAGCAATAACTGCACCAATATACCTCAAATCCAGATGTTCTAAAAAATGGATATATTCTATATTTTTAGGGAGAATTAAGCATTGCCAAATAGATGCTTTTCAGTACCAAAAAAAGAAGTGCCACCGGATGGAGGTACTCCCACCATATATTAAAAAGAATGAGTTGAAGTAGAACCACTCACAACTTATGCCCTGAAGTGCTGGGGGAATTCTTGGTGTGCTTTTTTTTTTTTTTTTTCCCGAGTCCCATTTATCAATTAAAAAGCTCCCCAATATCACAGGAGTTACCATTTTCCTCAGTCCCCTCTCATGATCCTGTTCAGTCCATGGACTGCATGTTTTATATATCTAGCATCTCTGAATTCTTCCCGAATCCCCTTGCAAAATGGAGAACACAACATTTTTTTTTCCTTTCAAAATCTCATATTTAGCCATTGATTGGCAAGAATCTGCTTTGCCAGGCATGTGCACAGGGGCTGTTCTTGTTTTAAGGGATTTCACCTTAAAACTCAGSTTTTATGTAGCTGTCAGGTACATGGGATTTTATAAAGAGAGTCCCAAATTTACTTTCTTTCACCTCACCATTTCTGAACTAGAAACTGTGACAGTCATACTTACCCAATAAGTGTGATCAGGGTCTTTCTTCATGGTACCTCTTTAGTTCCACTATTTAGTTCCATCTTCATGTAAATCCTGCAGAATTACAAGTTACCAATAGTTTTGGTCTCTGTCTGACCTAAATTCTGTGTTCCCRGGTGGTTCTCATACAGTTTACAATGTCCCAGTGCTCTCAAGCATATATGATAATAAACGGTAATGAAATATGGCAATTAATCTCCAAGACAAATCTCACTTGAGGGGGTGAATGTTTGGCCATGAGTTCTCATGTGAGTAAGCTTTTAACATTTTTAAGAGAAAATTGTTGATGACACAGGACTTGAAAAGAGAAAGTCATTTTTCATTTAAATGAATGTCCTAAGAAAAATCTTTCTTACAATTTTGATTTTTATAAATTTCTATAAATTCTATAAAGGAATACCTCTTTTTAAGGTTAAAAGGCTGCATTTATAAACTAAGTTAGGAAAAGCATTGAGAAGTGTATTTGATAAAAATAAACCTATATGATRAAGAAAAGGATTTGAGAAGGAAGCCGCTGGGCTTACAGCGGGGTCTTGTGCTACTGCACCCAAATGTTATAAATGGGAACCAAAAGACAGGAAGGAATTGGTGCAGTGCCCAAGAGGCTACCTACCTTCTTCTTTTAATTTCTTTAAATAACATAGAAATTTTGCCACAAGACTMATCATGTTAATGAATGTGATGCTCTCTAAAGCAAACAGGAGGAGGAAAAGCTTTCTGAGTTTCAAAACCTACTGAAAATTATTTTTGTTTGGMAATATGAAGGAGCTTTTTAAAAGGTCGGTTCCTTTCACAACCTTTGTAACACTTTAATCATTAGTTATTAATGCTCCTTTGTAATTTCAAGGAGTAATTACATCTAGTGTACTTTAGCTTCTTTTAATGATACAAAAAGCTGAGAGATAAACTAACTATATTCCSGTGTTCCAGAGATTTTCTTCTTGAAGCTGCTTAGGTTCAAAGGTGGTTATTATTTTGAAGCAATATTTTGGAATAGTGTTTACATCAGTAAACACTGATGTAAAATCTGGAGGTAGCTGGAGTTGTTCTAAATAGTGTTACTTTCACAGCAGATTTTTATTTTCCTTTAAGACTATATACATTATTTTGATGACAGAAGTTGTTACATTTCCATACAAAAGAATAGGCTGGTCCTGTCTTGTTCTGTTTCACCAAAGTATATTGTGAGACCATAATAGATCCAATCTTGCTACATGAATGTCCTATGTTTGTATAAGTGCTGTCTTTAAAAATAGGAGGTTCCCTGGAATTACAGAATCACAGAATGGCTGAAGTCAGAAGGGACCTCTAGRGATCATCCAGTCCAACCCCCTGCTCCAGCAGGGACACCCAGAGCACAGGGCACAGGGCGGCATCCAGGCGGGTTTGGAAGATCTCCAGAGAAGGAGACTCCACAGCCTCCCTGGGCAGCCTGTGCCAGGGCTCTGGCACCCTCACAGGAAAGAAGTTCTTCCTTCAGATGGCGTCTCTTGTGCTTCATTTTTTGCCCGCTGCCCCTTGTTCTGTCACTGGGCCCCACTGAAAACAGTCTGGCCCCATCCTCTTGACAGCCTCCTTGTTGCACACATTGATACATCTCCTCCYGCCTTCTGCAGCCTGAACAGGCCCAGCTCTCCTAGTCTTTCCTCCTAAGGGGGATGCCTCAATCCCTTCGTCTTCCTCATGGCCCTCCAGTAGAGTCTCCAGTCATTCCATGTCTAGTTCTGGGGAACCCAGAATTGGATCTGAGGATAGTGGTGGTTTATATGCTTAGGTGCTTCAGATATCTTGGTTCTATGTATGTGATTATTCATATATAAATATTTTCATGGAAAAACAAAAATGTAAATTGCAATCTTGAGCTGTTGGGTGACACTCAAATTCAGGAGAGGAAGAGCTGGCAATGTATTTACACCAGACCTTTCCCAGTATAGAACAGACCACATTTCTGCTGGTGATGTTTTATGCAAAAGGTTACAAATATCAAACTACACCGAGAACTTTACAGCTATTGGGTCTGTGTGCAGGTTCAGTGGGAGCTGGAGCTCCGGAGTCCTTGCTTGCCACATGAAACATTTTAATGGTCCTTTGAACAGCAGCCACTCAGACTTTCGTGTCTCTTTTCTTTAAAGAGAAGGAGCCAAACTGTGGGACAGCGCAGGTCTTAGGAGTGCTTCAGGTACCTACCTTCTGCTGTGATGCCTAGAAGGGCCCTTCAGATGACGTGGTTTCTGTGAGACAACTACCAGGTGAATGGATGGCATCCACAGCCCTTGTTTTCAAGCTGTCTGAATAGTCCTTGATAGTGAGTATTCCTCCTCGGGTTGTGCTAGCTTGATGGTGTGTRAAAAAGAAACCGCTCTTAAACTTTCCATGTGAGTAATTTCCTTTGGCTTTCAATTTGGCTCTATAGAAGAACTTGGCTTAGCACTCCTCGTGCCACATGTCTGGGAAAGACTTTACATCCATAGACCCTTCCGACACGTAGGGCAGCCCCTGGTGTTTTAAGTGAACTGCTGAGTTAGTCACGCTGCCTGGAGGGCCCAGGCCTGCAAGCTGCTCAAMCCCCTGGGCGCAAAGTTAACGTGAAATAACTTGAGATCCTGGCTGCCCACCACASGGCCAGGCAATGGTACAAGCAGTGCAGACTGCAGGGGCTCCAGCCTCCTCCCTTGTCAAGAGCCATCTCCCGCTCTCACAAGGTGAGGGAGAACTAACCCTCTCCATGCAGATACGGTGTGAGAGGGACCGGGATGTCCCTGGGCAGCACAGTTCGGTGCTCTGAGCTCCCCTTCTCTGCTGGGTGACAGGGCACAGCCTGCCGGCCACGTGGGCAGTGCCCTGAGGCACTACCGGGGGCCTTGTTTCAGATGCAATGTATTAGTGCAAAGGTGGGCACAGACATTCAGGGRCCTTCCTGAGGCATGAGCAGTAGCGTAGTTGTTTTTAATAACTGACCTGGTTGCATTTCTCCAACTGCAGGTTTTTTTTGACTTGCATACAGAGAGACAACAAGAGCTAAAATCTCACCCCTACCAACAGGAGATCAGAAAGATACACGGAATCACAGAGCACTCATGAAAACGCCCCAAGTTCAGTGGTGGTTCTGCTTCGGCAAACCTTGAATGGGCTTAAGTGCCTTTGAAGGTGTGAGGCTGTTGACCTTCCTTGAAAGGGAGACTCTCCCTGGAGAGCCTGGAGGGCGTGCAGGCCATGGAGGAGCACTTCTGTCTGAAAGAAATTGCATCTCATCATGTGACAAATCCRTTTTCCTTGGTGACCTCAGAGGTGACTTGACTAGGGGCTGGATTGAAAAAATATTCCTAAAAATCTGTGTAAAACAATCAAAACACTAATTATATAAGATAACCCCTTACATATAAACCCCCTTCTCTTTGCAGAATGTGATTTTTGGGCAGTCTGCCCTGAATTAGGCGCCGCTCAGTGCTGGATACCTAGAAGCAGGTCCAGCCAAGCAGCCTGCTCAGCGAGGAGCTGCCCGAGCGGCTCTGGAGCYGCCAGGGCTGAGGGACCAACAGAGCTGCAAGTTCAGGCAAGAGAGCTTGACCCTAGGAGCAGACCTAGCCCTAAAGAACATCCAACCTTCTGGGAACTGGGCGCCTCTTGCAAACTGTTACTCTGGGCCTCGTGACACCCATCTTCATTAAAATGGCATTTTTAACCTCATTTTACTGASAAGGCATAGAAGTTGTTGGGCTTTTATATAGACACATGGAAAATCCACAACAGCTGTAACTGRAATCTGTGTGTCTSTTTTCGGTCTTGTGCTTCAGGATGAGGTTGGGCATCGCCACTGGTTACCCTAAGAACCTAAATGAGTAGAGTGAGAAACAAARAAGTAGATTTTAAGTAAGCTGGACTCCTTCATTAACTTTTCTTCCTGGAAGAATTTGCAGCTCTTCTCAATGCACATCTAAGCCTAGGYCCTTACCACGGAAAAGTAACTGGTAAGAAAGAAATAAAACAAGGGGGAAAAAGAAAGGAACCTTTAAAAATGTGACTGTTACGTACTGAAAGTTGTGGGACATAAACTGCAGTTCACAGACTCGGGGCTGCCTTGGAGGGGTTGTCAACTGCAAATAAAATGACCCTGAAAGTCTCTCTCTGGAGATGCTGGCAACTCAGCTGCTAGAGATTTTCAAACACAGTGTGAAATCAACCCCAGGTGGGAGAGTTTTGACAAAAAGAGACCTGGGAGGTTGGACACACTCTGTGCTATCAGATCTTTCCAGCGGCTCCATTTCCTTTGAAAGGAAATGCGGTCAGTGTCCTGGCGGGCAGGCAGGACAGCAGGTGGGATCCCGGCTCTAGGAACGGCTCCCGTCGCTGTCCTGAGGGCAGCAGGGGGACATTCCCTGTGGCTTTGTTCCTGGCAGCATGGGGACATTCCCTGTGGCTTTGCTCCCGGCAGCTCCTCACAGAGGCTGGCGGAGGGGCCGTGTCCTGCAGGTGGGAGCAGAGCGGGGGCTGGCTCTGCTGCTCTGCCCAGGGAGGTGGGGCTCCCCATGGGCTCCCCGCAGCGGCACCCACCTCCCTACATTGATTCATTGCTTCATCACTTCATCGCTTCATCACTTCATTGCTGCTGCTGCACCCGTGTCTGCCCGCGCTCTCCGCTCCCCAATCCCGACATCTCCAGAGCCCCCGGCGGCTGCCGGGCACCCGCAGCCCGCCCCAGGCTTGGCGTCCTCCTCTCCAGGTGCCTGAGCGCTGCTGTTTGGAGGGCAGAGAGCCTGGTCTCGTCGCAGAAACACCGTGAGTACAACTGGCGTGAGCACGACTGCCGCTGCGCTCGCTGCCTGTGTGAAACTCTCCTGCCTTGCACTCAGTAGGAGGAGTTTGTGAGTTCAGAGTCGCTGGGGTTGTTGTGGTCTCTGCTCCCGTTTGAGGTGTTCACATGAGCCCTTATTGTTTAAGGTTTTAGTTGGATTAACGCGTTAGAGCRAAACTGCTCAGAATTTTGGTGGTTTCCCAGTTTCTCTTCTACTGCTTTGTAGCTAAACTTCTGACACCTCCTTCCTGGAAATTTGCTGAAAGTTTGCAAATTTGCTCCAAAAGTTTGCTGAATTTTGTCATGAAAACCTAGAAGAAATTTTTCTTTTTTCTTTTTTATTTCTCTTTTTTTTTCTTTCCATTTGTGCAGTAGCTACTACATGTGTTCTTACCGTGCTGACATTCACCCCACACTACGCAATGGTTCACTCTTTTCATTTCCACAGTGCAGACAAGGGCTGTGCCGTGAAAGACTGGGTATTTAAGAACCTGTTACTAGTTTACAGTCATTTTAAATAGAATATACTACAGGGGGTTCTTTAAGAGGCTATTAGCTATTAACTTGACTTTCCTAATGGGCTAATCCCAAGAGAGGAAGGGGAGGACCTATGAGCTCTAGGAATACTTGTGACATAGACCATGACCACTTCAGGCAGCATCAAACTTTCTGCTAGAGGTTTTTACGTTCTAAATAGCATTGACAATTTCTTAGGTGCAACCCTAGTTCCTTTGCTAGGATTTCTTGGCTGGCATTTATTCCATGGTTTGAAAGTAAATATTGTTCTGAAAATGTTTTATTATGCAGCACCCCAAAGCAGAAGTCATCTCTGGGGGATATCCTTTAATYTCACATGAGAATTAACTAGATACTGGCAGAATCCCTGTGATTTCGTGCACTTTCTTTCAGGCACCTGCTTGGAATATGGAGGTTGTCTGGAGAAGAAGGTGGTACCTTCAGCTGGGCTGTGTGTTGCTGCTGAATCTAGTTTATGCCAATCTAGACTATCCAAAGGAGATCCCCGCGAGCCTGGGCCAGATTGACCACCAGTGCTGGGAGGTGTCGTCCCAGGGGCTGGTGGAAATGAAGAAACTCAAGGTGGCAGATTCCGTCGTCACTCTCTGGGACTTCATGATGTTCCTGAAGGAATCGCCCAAGCCCAAGCACAACGAGCTCTTCAATGATTTAGCCCAGAACTTCTGGGATATGTACGTGGACTGTGTGCTCTCCAGATCACATGGGATGGGCAGAAGGCAATTAATATCTCCCAAGTATTTTGTGGCATACTCYTAGAGAACTTCAGAAGGTTCCTGTAATACATGATGTCTGTACTGTACATTAAACAGAGGCACTGCTCCATCCTTGTCTTCAGTTGCTGAGATAATTCAGTGTTAACCACCTATAGTTTTTGGTCTCTGCTTGTCAAATGTGTTTGCATTTTTCCATGGTAGCTATTTTCACGATAGCTGAATCAAAAGCAGTTAAGGTTATTAAATTTCTCTATTTAAGAAAGTGTAAGCAAAATGTAGGTATGCATGTGGGAGTGTGTGTCATTGGATGCTCTGTTTATCCCTGTATACATTATCAATGACATTACAACACTGAAAGTTGAAAGGTTCCCAGTGCCCTAACTTTGGGGAATCACCTGTACGTGAGCAAGGAGTGTGAGTCCCCGAGCGCTTGAGGGCCTTCCTTCCCGTTAAAGCYATTGACACATAACGTGAGTTCTCGGTCCCTGTTAATAACCAGTGACAAACTCTGGTTGTCCTGGTCGGGAATGTGACCTGCAGCCATATCCACGATTTCCTACTTCAGCAGCCAATCCCAGACCTGTTGGCTTCCCTCCTCCTGCTCACAGAGGCCTTCCCACAGGCAGCCTAACACAGTAGGGATTTTTCCTGATGTACCCAGCCAAGAGTTCTAGGTTTCCACACTGGATAGGGAGCTCCTGTATTCTTAGTATTCCTAAATATACTGCTTGGAAAATAATCTCTTTTTCCTAATCTTTCAGGGTCAGCTTTCACCAGCCCATTTCAGGCCAAAAGGGGAGGAAAGCTCAGGTACCCGCYGAGCGGCTCCAGCCTGCGCTTTGCTTGGGCATGCAGGCCACAACCACAGCAGGGCTGGCAGCCTCCCCAAGGCCCCCCGTCACCCGGGATCTCCTGCTCACAGTCTCCCAGGCTGCCTTTTCCCAGGCCACATGTGAGTGATTTGGGGATTTGCCTAAACTCCCCTTGTTCTCTCAGGTAAGCTGCTTGAACCAGTGCTCTATTTCTGCAGAGGCCCGTCCATTCCAAAACCTCTTTTTTTTTCAGAAGTTAACTTTGATAGAAACCCAATATATTTTTATACGTTGCAATGGAGACAATGTCAACAAGCGCCTTTGTCTTGCCCCAAGCGTCTTGCCCCTATCATGGGTTTTATGTTGAGCAATTGCAGAAGCCCAACACCGAGTTAAATAAAAGGATTGTGCTTGTAATGTCCTGCGTGGTCTAAACTCTGTGCTTTATTGCTGCTTAGCCTAGGCTAAATATTACTTAAAATATTTTTCTACCCAGCAGCAACTGAGTAATAGTCATTTTGTTATTTTTGTCCATTAATATGTTATTTGCAAGGAAGATTATTACATTATATMAGAAGAGAGCTTTAAAAAGCTGCCCTTCTCTTTGCAGTCAGGTTTGCTGGGTGCCCRCTGCGGTTTGGCCTTGCGTGAGATCCCGGCTGCGGGTCCCTGTTCGAGGAAGCCGTACTCACCTCTGCAAAGCAGTACTCGTGCATTAACAACAAAATGCGTTAACAGAATGCATTAACAGCTCGTACACCTCCTCATGTAACGCAAAATCCACTACATACAGTGCACCTATACAAAATATATTCCCTGCTTGAGCAGGGAGTTGGACTAGGTGATCTCTAGAGGTCCCTTCCAACCTTAACCATTCTGTGAAAACATACGGTGCAATGCAATAAAATGCGTAAAATATCCAGTAGTGCTCCTAGGTTTGTTCACCAAAGTTAAATATAGAATAGTTTTTTATAACATATTTCTCTTAAGATAAGAGGAAGAGGATATAAGAGTAGTGAAAATTTTCCTTACTTGTGAATATCCTGGATGCCAAACATGCCCCCATGTCTGGGATTCACTCTGCTCCTGGTATAAAACTGTCACAGAAGCATCAGTGTGAACCGGTTTCTATGTAAAAGATTGTATTATATTCCCACAGGGGTTACACTCTGCTCCTGTAACTTTTGCTCAGAAATTGGAAGGACTTACATACGAGTCCTGGGTATTTGGAAGAAATTAACCAGTGCCTTACTGTTACCAATAATGTCCCCTACACATTTGCATACATGCAAACATATATTAAAAAAGAAAAGAAGTAAATGCCCAGCACAGTCTTCATTCTTCTTGACAAGTTTGGGATTTTTTTTTTTTTTGATGTGAAAGACAACTGAGAGCACTTTGTTGGAGCCCCAGTATTTAGACACATTTTCATATTTTCCGTGACACCTGTAAGCAGGCTAGTAGATGAAGAGTTGTGTCAAAGGAATAGGAATGTAGCTGAGCAATCCATACCTGGCACACGGGGCTTCAGTTGGTAAAGCTCTGGGTGCTTTAGGTTACCTTCCTTGCATGCAGAAAACACATAGAGGCTTGTTCAGTAAAACATCCTTAAATGTTATGCAGATAAATTCAGGAAAAAAGTCATAACAAAGCSAGGTTATACTTAAAAATATCAATTAGCAAAGTACGAGCATAAAAATTAAATTAGTATATCTTAGTTTCTCTGACATTAAGCAATAGAGGGCCGTCTTTGCAAGGTAATGTTTAACAAACCTGTCCATGAGAAAATGCTTCTGGCCTCTGTAAACTGAGCACGTGGAGATCTTTCTAAAGAGTCATCTCACACGACTGTTTTGTTTTATACAGGTTTTTCCTTTTGGTTCATTTTATGGAAGTTAGGTAGGCAATTCTTGAACAAAAATCTCTGCCTTTGTTTTTAATCCCAGCCCTGCYATGTCTTGTTATAGGATCAAACACCTTGTGAAGAAACAGAACTATACACACATCCTATCCTTCTTTCAGGGAAATAAAAAGGGAGTCCAGAACTAAGTTCTATGTGATTACCTCAAAATTATTATTTTTTTTAATGTTTGCATTCAACATAATGAAAGCTTGAGCTTTTCTCAAAAGGCTGCTTATAGGCATAAAGATCACAAAAACTTGTAGGTGGCAAAACACCTAGCAAGGTCACTGCAGTTTATGCTCTACTGCTGGGAAGTAACTAATTTTAAAATGTGTGAAATCTTCACAGAATCACAGACTGGTTGAGGTTGGAAGGGAYCTCTRGAGATCAYCYAGTCCAACCCCCTGCTCCAGCAGGGACACCCAGAGCAYRGGGCACAGGGCRGCATCCAGGYGGGTTGGGAAGATCTCCAGAGAAGGAGACTCCACAGCCTCCCTGGGCAGCCTGTGCCAGGGCTCTGTCACCTGCACAGGAAAGAAGTTCTGCYTCATGCAGAGGGAACTTCCTGTGTTTCAACTTGTACCCATTACCCCTTGTCCTGTCACTGTCCACCACTGAGAAGAGGTTGGTCCCTTCCTCCCTACATTCTCCCCTCAGGTGCTCATACATACTGATCAGATCCCCTCTCCACCTTCTCTTCTCCAGGCCAAAGAGGCCCAGCTCACTTGCTCTGCCTTTGCCTCTCTCACTGAATTCTGACTAAGCCAGAAGGAGACAATTGTCACCCACAAGAAAGATTGCTGCAGAGTTTTTATCAGAGGTAATATGGGCAATGACCCATTAAATAACTAGAACAGTAAGATTAGTTAAAGAGTTGGGAGAAATTACTGTTTTAGCAGTTCCCCCAACAGGCTGACAGAAACGGCTGGCACAGCCCTGCTTCTCCRGAGCCTTTAGCTTCAAACAGAGGGATCGGGATTCGGAAATGCTCCTGCCAAAGGCACCAAGAAACAACATGGACAAGGAGAAGTACCACACAGGCCTGTATCCAAAAGAAGAAACTGAGTGTATTTATGGAAAGGTTCATCAGGCTGCTCAAAGAAGGAGATAMCCAAGCTGCAACGTGTAGAGAGTGTCACTTCTGTCAATAGAGGAAGGAAACCTAAATAGATTTTCTGATAGTGCATCAGGGTAACCTGACAGCAACACACAACATAATCAGACTCAATGTACCTTTGTTCCACACTGTGTGAAATGTTTTATTAATAAACTTTCACTATGTTTACATTAGTGTAAGACAAAAAAATAGTTTATCAACACCTATGCAATTTGTTAAGGCACTACAAATAGATTAAACCTTGTACCTGAAATATGCATAATGCTAACTAAAAAAGCTAAAAGCACTGTTCAGAATAGTAGTTATTTTACAGATATCGAGTTTTTCTTGAACGAGTCCAACATTTTAACTCTTTTGATCTTTTTTAGGGCCCCTCCATGAACAGAGAGCTTTCTAAGAGCAAGGTCGGTATCGGCCAGCGGCCCTCCAACTAATTCATGAGGAGTGCTCTCCACAGTTACCAAGCGACCGGATCCGACCTGGAAAACAAAACAAACCCATTACTTGACATTCATGGTAGTATTTAAYATACGATGAGAGTTAAATCATGAGCTGGTCTCTTGAAAATATTTTTCAGTGGGTGGAGATGCATGGTGAGGTTACCTCGGTCCACTCAACCCGCTAAAATAACAAATTGTTCCCATCAATGAAAAAGAGCATTTTTGTTTTTTTCCTTTATGTCTGATCTTAAGAAGAGATGAAAAGAAAATCAAGCCTTTACCCAATGTTATTGGGATTTGCACATAATATTAGTCACAGTTCTTGCTCTCAGATTTTCCATACGGCTTAGCACTTAAAGAAAGAGGGAATGGGAGATGCACACGGGTGTGCAATCTGCTTCTCTCGTCTGCAGCTGCCTATGCCGCCGCTCCAGCAAAACTGTAAGACTTCAAGACAGAGATACACATTTTTAGTCTCATACAGTATTCCTTATACTGAACATATTCGGGCCTTTGAATTAAAATCCTTGAATGAAACTTCTGTCTTCTAACCACGACCAGCTGAAAACAACCGTGTAACTCTAGGTGCATGTGGCTCATGTTTGGTTAGATGATCTTGATTTGTTGGCACCCCAAATCCTAGGTACAGGAAATGTTTAGCACAGGCAGAAAGATGACTGGGCCATTAAAAAAAAAAAAAAGCCAGCAATAGTTGTCACTTGTAACTCTTCCACGCAAGGGAGCTAAGGAATTTTATCTGTTGTTGCTGATGAGTCCATTTTTTCAATACACCCCTCCAAAATGGACTAACATCTTCCTTGTTTCTGTCTACAGCAGATACCAATGTTTGTATCTAAACTTTTCAGATTCTTTCTATAACACATATCTGAGGAACAGCCATACTGACACATCCGTAACATATATCTGAGGAACAGCCATACTGACACGTCCACGCAAATAAAACCTTTCCTATTCCAATTCATCTTACATTCACAGACGTGGCCTTTCACATGTGCTTGCCTAAGTTTAG